CATCGTCGAGCCACCCTCCCTGCTTCCTTCGAAAGGGTTGAGGAGCGCACGTATGCGGGGTGGCGGGAAGTTAAAGAGTAGAATAGACACTCGGTAATTGCATTCCTTAAGGCTAATACAGCTGATCCGCTGAAAGGGATAATTGCCCCGAATTCCGCATCAGCACTTGCTGAGAAATTCCTAGCAGATCTGTGCAACACTAGCATGGATCCTAACAGCCCTAACGTAACTAACGCGTATAGCCGATAATATCGAAGGAGGGTATTATTTTGTTTACACACATATAGGGAGATCAAGGTTTAATGATGAATGTTCCACGAATCGATAGAACTCCATGAACGTATGCCCTGTAACGGTTCGTTATTGAGATACAGGACGTTAAAGTTGATCCGCTTAAATGAAAACCTAGTTGGCGACCTAGAACGCGAGAAGGTACAATAAGCTCTAGCCTACTAACTACCTATTATAACTAGGTTGTCATCTAGAATTATTAGCATTCAATTACTCCACTGTGTCGTGAGGAACCTAAATTTTATGTAAATAATGAGTCTATGCGTTTTTCCAAATTGTTGAATTTCAGAATTCATTTCAATCGAACCTTCATGGCCGCCATTTGGCGATACGTCGAATAAATGGTGACGTCAGATTTCATGCTGTTTTGTTTTCGGTCGGATAATCTTCCATTTCCACTCATGAAGCAGGGTTTTCAAGTCACCAATTATAATCAAGTTATCAAAAAGATGGTGGAGTCCTGTCGTTGAATAAAACGTAATAGGAGGAACCCATGATGTTTTAGTTCATTCTTGACTCCTTCGAGCAACCGGCATATCCAAATATTTCTTATTCTCCATAACGAAATATCATGTCAATGTTGGAGACTTGGCAACATTGTGCTGAATGCTGAGAACTGACAAGACCACGCCCACAAGTCGTGCGCCGTGGTTGTTATGTTCACTGATTCAGATGTCCTCTAGGGTGAATTGAAATAACTATTATTTACACGAATTTATTATAAGCTATAAGTCACAAATTATGAAGGAAAATTTTGCCCTACTAGTTTTTACTGGCGGTAAATTTCTAGCATTTTCAGAGTAACCATGGCATAATTGATGATTTCAGCTCCTAAAAATTGACCTACAAATTCTTAAAAAATATGGAATTGAAAGGTATATGATGGATGATCGAAGGAAGGGTAATATTTTGTTTGCACACGTACAAGGTGATCAAGGTTTAATGATGAATGTTCCACGAATCGATAGAACTCCATGAACGTATGCCCGGTAACGGTTCGTTATTGAGATACAGGACGTTAAATTTTGCATTTTTATAACGAAAATCGCATTCCTCAAGGCTATGGGTGAATGGACTGATAATGAATTATTAGCATTAAATTACTCCACTGCGTTGTTAGGAACCTAAATTTATTTTTGCGACACTTCTCGCGCTTTTTTTATGTAAATGAAATTGTTGAATTTCAGAGCTCATTTCAAACGAACCTTCATGGTTGCCATTTGGCGATACGTCGAATGAATGGTGACGTTAGTTTTTATCATGTTTCGTTATTGGTCAGATAATCTTTCATTTCCACTCATAAAGCAGGGATGTCGAGTCACCAATGGGCGTGTACACCTTAGTAGAACTTTTAACTCAAACCATGTTTATAATGATCCTTTTATACATAAATAATGATTGACAACATAATTCGATCGAAAAATTAACTGGATTGTTTCATTTTTCGACATAAATGATAGTACCATATGAAAACGGACCCTCTTATGACGTAGAAACATCTCGCCATAGTTAAAAGAAAATAAAAAAGACCGACGGAGACTTGGAGGCAACTAATATAATAATTCTTTCAACTGTGATCTCGCGTTAATTCACTCTGTCAGAAATCATATATTATTCATCTCTGTCTGGAATAGTATTGTTTCAGTATTAGGGTTTTGACGTCACATCATCGCCTCGTTTTCAGAGGTCCGAAAAGTCGGGGATTTCAATAATTTTTTATAAAACTTAGGGAGCTCACAGCAAGAAACGGTTTGCGGTGGTGAGCTAGGTTGGATGAGTTCTATAAATTTTTTTGTGATATGAGCCCATTATAATCAATTTATCAGAAAGATGTTAGAGTCCTGTCCTGTCCATAATAGGAGGAATTCATGACATTTTAGGTCATTCTTGACTTTTTCGAGCCACCAGCATGTCCAAATATTCCTTATTCCCCATAACAAAATAGAATGTGAATGTTGGATACTTGGCAACATTGTGCTGAATGCTGAAAACTGACAAGACCACGCTCACAAGTAGTGCGCCGTGGTTGTCACGTTCACCGAATCAAATGTCCTCTAGTATGAATTAATATAATTATTATTTACACAATAAGCAATAAGTCACAAATCATAAGGGAACATTTCGAGATAAACGAATTTGTATTGCTAGTTAGAAGAATTACCAATACTTAATTAAGAATTTATGGATTATCGAATAACTACTATTACTGGCGGTAAAGGACCCCGCACTTTCCTTATGGAAAATGGCTTTCGGTTAACTTCCCTGAATTTTCGGAATGATGTAGATTTTGACTTCCTAAGCAAAAGTGTCTGTGGGCACAAAGAAATCGGGTGACTAGTTTTCGAGATACAGGGTGTCAAAGATGAAAAGTGAAGCTTTCTGCTCAGAATTTTTAGCAACTCCGAGAATTGACAAAACGGCCATTTATTCATGGAATAACATGCCTGAATGATGGTACAATGTCATCTGGATCTCGTATCCATTATAATTTTACGTTTTGGGCTTTACAACAGGGTGAACAAAGAAAAATCCAATTCGATTAATTTTAAACCAACCAGGGCAAGTTCTTTCATGAGAATTAAAGATCCAATTGAAGCCTGGACGAACTTCCTCAATCTCGATCGAAGTTTACTGATTTTTTTTATATACAGGGTGGAAAGGGGAGAGCATGTCATACATATATCAGACATTCATTAATGTTGAGAACGTCGCATACTCATTTCATATTTATAGGGTGAGTATAAAGATACAGTCCAAGTTTCTTGAAAAATGCGTTTTTTTTTTCAATGAATACACTGTATTTCGAAAAGAATCGGTTAATTTTCTTGAATTTTTGATATAATGTACGATTTGAGGAGAATATTAGCATAGGTCTCCGGACTCGTTTGTCGACTATATACTTTTGAATATACGGATTTTATTGATACCCGATATACTCCATTGGAGTTTGAAATGGGCTGTTTTCCAACGATTCATGTTGAAAAATATTCCGACTAGATTGGTGCGGTACCAATTCCAAAAATGCAATACCTTATATACAGGGTGAATGAAATGTTTTTCATTTGAAAGCCCTGTTTCCGAAGAAACTAGAGAAAATTGAAATGTATCAGAAGCAATAACCCTCTCAAGGTTGGAACTAATTCTACAGTATTTACCCTATAAATATGAAATGAGTATGCGACGTTCTCAACATTAAAGAATGTCTGATATATGTATGACATGCTCTCCCCTTTCCAATTCAAAAACCTAGGGATTGACGTACCCCTCTTTTCGAACCACCCTGTATATAAAAAAAAATCAGTGAACTTCGATCAAGATAGAGGAAGTTCGTCCAGGCTTCAATTGGATCTTTAATTCCCATGAAAGAACTCGCACCCTGGTTGGTTTAAAATTAATCGAATTGGATTTTTCTTTGTTCACCCTGTTGTAAAGCCCAAAACGTAAAATTATAATGGATACGAGATCCAAATGACATTGTACCATCATTCAAGCATGTTATTCTGTGGAGACCCTACTGATTAAAATAACCAAAGACGTCGAAATTATCCATCAATGGAGCAAATCGAACCTACTTTCTTTCAATATTCAGAAAACGAACCTGATAACATTCCGATGTGAGTTGCCTCTTTTATCTCTGGATCATCAAATTATAGAAAATAAATTGAACGCAAAGTTTCTTGGTCTTTTTGTGGACAAAAAAATGAAATTTGATCTGCATGTTTCACACTTATGCAATAAGCTTGCATCAGGATGCTATGCTATCAGATTGATATCAAACGAGTTGGGTTATTCTGCTGCTATGACGGCATATTACGCTCTAATAGAATCCCATTTGAGGTACGGAATTGCATTTTGGGGAACTTGTAACAACCATAATTTACAGTCTACATTCATCTTACAAAAAAGGGCATTAAGATATGTATGCAAAGTTAATTCAAGAACCTCTTGTAAATAATTATTCAGAGAGCACAGAGTGTCAACAGTAGTATCCTTGTTTATTATAGAGTCGGTGTGTTTGATTCACAAAACCAGAGATAATTACGAAGTCGTGAACTCATGTTACAACACACGCCAGTCAGAGATGGTGAAGCTTCCCCTAAAAGATTCCATATTATATAATGGCCTGAAAATGTACAATCACCTCCCAACTATTGTTAAATCTATCTCGGATATAAAAAAATTCAGGAAGGAATTGAAAAACTTGTTAGTCCCTTATGTGTTTTATAATGTTGATGATTTTTATGAACAAGTATTTTAGACGAAGCCTTATGTGTGCACATGTTTGTGAAAAATTGTATTTATGTTGATAATTGTTGTATACATCATTTTATTATTTTATTTTTATAACCTATTCAGCTTTGTCTACAAGGATTACATTCTTAAGTGACAATAAAGCATATTTTGATTTGATTTGATTGATTTGATTATTCCATGAATAAATGGCCGTTTTGTCAATTCTCGGAGTTGCTAAAAATTCTGAGCAGAAAGCTTCACTTTTCTTTGACACCCTGTGCCCACGGACACTTTTGCGTAGGAAGTCAAAATCTACATCATACCAAAAATTCAGGGAATTTAACCGAAAGCCATTTTCCATAAGGAAAGTGCGGGGTCCTTTCTCAACGTTTGAAAATTATCGTGGCATTATTAGTGATTTTAGCACGTAAAAATCGACCAAAAAATTCCTGAAAAGAAATAAAAACAAAATTAGTCCACTCGCCTATTCAGGCTTTCATTCTTTATTAACTTAATATATTAATCTATGAGTATTCCATAACAAAATATATGCAATAATTACAACAAAGAAATCATCTCGTCCAGTACGTTTTAGAAAAATACGAAATTCCAGTAAAAAAAATCACACTCCGTCAACAGCCAACAACAAAAAATATATTTACAAACATCTTTTCGGTTTTGTCTTTGTACAAATCAACTTTTCGTCATCGAAGAACGTATTAAAATCGCAAACGAACTTCATGTCCAACAGCTGATTCTCATTATACCCCTGCGTACAATAATGAAACAGCCGACAGTCCCTGCTGTCAGCATAAAACTTATCCACCTCTTTACCGAAACAATTGAAAAAAAAGTGTTTCCTCACTGTCACCGTCATCCTCGACAGAGGAGTGGTCACCAAAGTCCTTTCGGCCTGAGTCGGATTCACACTTTTCCGCAATGGAAAATCAGTCGAAAATTCTTTTCCTTTTCTGGTTTCCTTCTCCGCGACGAATCTGTGCTTGTACCTACTGTATCCAGTAGGTTTCCTCCTAGTAGGATTTCCCCCCCTTCTTCTTTGAGGTCTTTTAGTCGTCGTTGATTGGTCTGTTGTCGTTTCTTCGACAGATGATAAGGTCGTTTGTTCGAAAGTCGTCGGTATCTGCGTATAATCGGTACTCGTCGTGGTTTCTACATGTACGGGAATTTCTGTATGAGCAACAGGTGTTTCTGTGGAAGTAACAAGTGTTTCTTCGAAAGCAACAGGTGGATCTTTAGGAGTCACAACTGATTCTGTGAATATTGCATGTGTTTCTTTGGAAACAATAGGTGTTCCTTTGGAAGCCAATGGTTTTTTTGGATGAGTAACAGGTGTATCTGAAGCCACAGGCAGTTCTGTGAATGTTACATATGCTTCTTCGAAAGTAACAGTTGTTTCTTTGGAAGCAACAGGCGTCACTTCGAATACAACAGGCGTTCCTCTGTGAATGTGTTCTGTAGATGTTACATGTGATTTTTTGAAAGCAGCAGGTGTTTCTTCGGAAGAAACAGGTATTTCTTTGGAATCAACAAGTTTTTCTTCGCGAACAGGATATGTTTCTGTGGAAGCAATATGTCTTCCGTTGGGAGCGACAGGTGTTTCTTTGAGAACAATAGGTGTTACTGTTTTTTTAGAAGCAACAGTTGCATTTTCAAAAACAACAGGTGTTTCTGAATGACCAAGAGGTGGGATTCTGGAAGCCACAGGTGGTCCTGTGAATGCAACAGGTGTTTCTGTATGAGCAACAGGTGTATCTCTATAAGCGAGAGATATATCTGTGAAAGAAACAGATGGATTTCTGAATGAATTGGTTGTTTTCGGAAATGTATCCGTCGAATCAATATCAGTTGATGTTGAAGTAACAAGAGGAGTTGGAGGAGGAATAGTAGTTGGGGTTTCTGTGGAAGCAAAAGGTGTATGTGTGTGAACAACAGGTGTTTCCGTTGAGGTTATGTCTTTATGTTCCAGTTGTGTCGACGTTTGCGTTACTGGGAACGTTTCAGTACTCATTTCAAAGTCACTTTGAGCTAAAGTAGTGTCAGTTGCTGACTCTTCTTCAACGACTATGCTGACCAAGTTCATGCCTTTGGAAAATATATGATTTTTGTACAAAGTTGTCGTTTCTGACGTCATTGGCTCAACGGTACTCTCAACCTCGTCTTTTCCTTCAGTAATTTGTGTAAACAAATCAGGTTCAAAAGAACTTTTGGTCGATGACTCGACTGCTTCAATGACAGTATGTAAATCTGTTGTCCAAAAATCCCCGGTACTCTGTGTATAATATTCAGTCGTATCAGTATTTCTTCTCGTGTTCACTTCCAGATTAGACTCGGTTGTGGGAAATTCCGAGTTCAACAGGTTATCTTTCAACTGTTTCTTCTTCGTTATATGTACTGACTCGATAGTGGGCACGAAAGCAGTGGCATAAACTTCCTCCAAAAGTTTAGAATAAGCGTAAGTACTGTTTTCGTGCAGAGTAGTGGAAGTAGCTTGAGGAAAACTTTCGTTCGGCACAGAATCGTTCAACTGGTACGAAGATTCCGTAGAGGATAAATTCGGCGTTCCCAGGACTACCTCTTGACTCCAAGTTGCTGCCGGTAAAACAGTTGATCGTGCTGGAGATTCCGTTGAAGGTTCCCTGAAATGTTCAGTTAGGTCTTCAATTGGATTCAGGAACTTCATTCTACCCCTGCGATTCTTAGCTGGCTTCGACTTAGGTAACGTTTCCAGCGCTACCGACAAGTCAAAGTGGTTTTCCATCGGGGTAACTTCAAAACTCAGATTTTTCTTAGCAGGGCTTTGCCTGGTGGAAACTTCTAGGCTCAGACCAGGACTTGAGCCAATATACTCAAGACTAGAAATCTTTTGGCCAGTGGCAACTTCAGCTTCTGGAGGCTTCGGCGGTTTTCTTCGCCTCTGAGACTTCTTTTGATACGTTTCCTCTTGGTACTTGTGTTTACCCCTCCTCCTCTTACTACTCCTTGATCTGGAGGATTCTGTAGTAGTGGTAGTGGTTGTTATCATGACAACGTCATCGAAAACCTCGTCAGGCAGCTTTGGATTCGTGTTTTCTGTAGATGAGACAGATGGTGCTTCATCAGAAACAGGTATTTCTTCGAAGAAAACAGGCGATTCTCTATGAGCAATGAGTATTTCTTCGACTGGAGCAGGTGACTCTGTGTCAGCAACAAGTATTTCATTGAAAGCAGCAGGTGATTCTGTTAGAGCAACAGATGGTTCTCTGAGAGTAACAGGCGATTCTGTATGAGCAACAAATGGTTCTTTAGACGCAACAGGTGTTTCTGTATGAGCCACAGGGATTTCTTTAGAAGCGACAGGTGTTTCTGTATGAGCAACAGGTGTTTCTGTGGATTTCGTCTCGGACTCTTCTAGTGTTGTTCTCGTTTCGCTGGTTGCTATTTTCGGACTGGATGTGTGTATGTGGACGGTTCTGAGATAATCGTAATCGTCTTTCGCTCTGTAAGGCTTCTCGATTAATTTCTCGATGTGTGCGTTCTTGTTTTCTTCCTTATCTTTCGATTCAGTTTGATACTTTCTCCTGCCCCTTCTTCTGTTGCTTCTGCTTCTCGAGGTAGTGGTAGTGGTCGATTTTTCAGTGGTCTCAACTATTTCAGTGGTCGGAATAGTGGTTTCTGGAGTAGTACTCGTGAACATATCGACGTTGCCAGACTGCTCCAGTTCGTTTGTATCGTTTTCAGAGTGGTCAGCGACTGGAAAATCTTCGGAGATTTTGCTGTACTCGTCGATTTGGTCTCGGTAGTAAATCGGCTCAATGTTATCGTCCACATAGTCACCAGGAACAGAAAAATTCTTTGCTTTCTCGTTCAACCTCACGAACTCATGAATAGACCTTTCATCAGAGTCTTTTCCATCGTTATATTCGAATCCGTGGTTCCCATACTTATGGTCGTAAGCTGCAGGCTCGTAGTTATCATTGATGTAGTCTTCCTCGTGTTTGAAAAGTTCGTCCTTCTCGTCATCATCAGTCCCTTGGAATGTTAACCGTTTCTGGACATCGTTGATTTTCCTTACTTCTTCGTGGCCGACCAAGCTGTATTTGCTGTTTTTACTGAAAACATCGCTGGACTTCGATTTGAAGTCCAGCCTGTCATTTTCCAGCGAATCACTTGTTGCTTCTCTAGGTGACAGCTCGTCATTTATGGCGGTTATACTCTGCGAGGTTAGAGGAGTTGTAAACCTCGAAGGGTTGGTTTTTTCATTCCGGTACCAATCAAATAGAAACTTCAACACCCGGACTGCATCCTCATCATTTTTGATGATATCATAATGGCTGAATTTCTCTTCTTCTGCGTTTCTTTTCCTTCTCTTTGCCGATTTCAGTTTTTGGACGTCGATGTAGAAGGGGTCCAAAACGACGTCCTCGTCTTTGTATTCGTCGTAGGTGGCTGGAGGTTGTTTGAGTAGAGGGGAGGTGTCTATGGTACCCAGCGAGTAGTTCAACTTTCTGCCGCTGGCGTCACTCACGCTGGCGCTGGCGCTGATCACAATTCGGGGTGGAGGTAGGTGATCTTTAGTGTACCTGCAAAAGTCAACGGTAGTCTTAATTTTGACGATAATATTGTTTGTGAAAAATAATATTTTTTCATGAAGACCGAAGTGTTTTCGTGAAAATGTTTTCTTCAATATTTTTATGAAGAATAATATTTTTTGTAGAGAATAAAAGTTTTCATGATATTGATTATTTCAGAGGAATGATGTTTTTATGTAAATTATTCTTCCTATGAATAATATTTTTATGGACAAAATATATTTTTATGGAAAATCAATTGAAATGCTAAATATAATTATGGAAATTAAAGAAGAATATGTTTATTCAGCATATCGTTCCAATGAATTCAATATATTTATGATAAATAATGTTTTTTATAAAGAATGATATTTCTCATGAGAAATCAATTGGAAAGTCTTATTGAGCAGAAGATGATTTTGATTATCTCAGAATAAAATTGTTATCCAAAATATAATCAGTATGAAGAATATATACTATTACTTCATTCGGAGATTAATCAAGAAGCTTCAAAGACCAATGAGTCATTATGATAATCACAGAGAAGTGTTTTTATTCCTAATATTTTTCTATGAATAACATTTATTTTAGGAAGAATAATTTTTTCAAGAAGAATAATATTTTTTATGAGGAATCAATTGAATATTTGGGTTGAATATTTTCAATGCCGAATATCTCTTTCACGAATAATAATTTCTTATGAAAAATAATATTCTGTTATGAAGAATGATATTTTCCATGAGGAATTAATCAAGAAGCTCTACAGAGTGGAAAATATTGATTATCTCAGAACTGTCTTTGTCAAGTATTATGAATGATTATAGAATGTTTTTCTGACTAGAAACATATAGAAATGAGTAACAATTCATATCTTTATGACGAAGATTTCGTATATTTTCCATGAAAAAAATTTCCAGGACGAACAACTTTCCCGGAGTCGCCAAAAAAAAAACCTCTCACCTCTTTTGCTCCACCCTCCGCTGCAACGAAAACGGCGCCGGCGTACTGAAAGTCAAGGTCGGCAAAGGCAACGATATCCTCTGAGGCACACCCCTGTCCTCGTACTGACTTTTCCGCTCGCCGTGATCCGCGTACTGACTTTTCTGTTCGCTGTGATCCTCGTAATGATTTTTCCGATCGACTGCAGGAGCTGTGAGGGGCGAGGGGTAGTAGCTGCGAACGGTGGTGGTGGTAGCTGTAGACGGCGATTGGTGGTGGTGGTAGTTTTTGGCGGTGGTGGGGGAGGTGAATTCGTTGTTTCGGTACGTGCTCGATGTGTATTGACGGGGAGAGGAGTTGTGTGGAGGGGCTGAAAAAAAAAATACGGGGGTCATTGTTTTTGCTGCATCCTCAATTACCTACGATATTTTTTTTCAATTTTTGGTATATTATTATAACCTCACTGTACTGAAGTGCATTTATTTATGAAAACGAAAAAACATCATCTAGAATGTTCTCTGAAATGTAAAGGTACTCGAAAAATACTCACTTTAGAAATAATCTCAAGAATGGACAAGATCGTAAATTCCGGCAAAAGTAGGTGTTCTCAATACTAAGATATGGAAGTTGAAAGAATATTGTGAAATGTTTTTCTTTGTTGTTGAAAATATCAAAATATGTAGCCGATAACTATATCTGTCAAAAACACTGATATTGTTTATCAATCGGTTGAAAATTGAAATAATGCCGGTGTTCCAGATTTGTTTTGACACAACCTGGAATGAAAAAGAAAATGCGAGTCATATTGTAGGTATAATTTTTAATCTTCACGATTCGCAGATGTTCGTTTTGGAAGCATTTAAGGATAGTACCGATGCAATCCTACAACTTTCATGTTGAAAGATTTTTCCACCTTGTATAGTCAAAGTTGTAGATGAGGGTCAAAATGAAAGAAGTGAACTAGTGGTTTTTCAAAGCGAAGTGATTCATCGAGACAGAGGAAAACGTCACCTTCGTATTGTCGACTAGGCTTGAATTGCGTCTGGAAACGGTAGTTGTCCTCACTCTCATCCTCCTCTTCCTCTTCCTCCTCCTCCTTCAACTCTCTCAACTCACCGAACTTGAACCCGAAATTCACATCTCGAGGCGTCACTCTTCCGTACCCCCCAAACTCCCCATCCCCGTAGGAGTCACCAGCCTCGCTCGTCCCATCGTACCCTCCCCTCTCACTTTTTCCAGTACTGGCTCCTCCCACTTGCCCCGCCCCCGTACCAATCACTTTCTTATCGCTGTAGTAGGACACGGGGTGGGGGTGGTTAGTCCTTATGTTGGGCGGTGAGCCGGGGTTGAGGCTGATGTTGATCTCTTCGGGGTTGAAACGAATGTCCGGTGACGTATTAGAATCCACGATTGGAAAGTGGTGGGAGGGAAGACGCTGTTGTTGTTGCTGATGTTGTCGTGGATTGTTTGTGGGCGTGGCGGTTGTGAAGTAGGCGGGGCGCGAGGATGAGCGGGGCGGGGCCAAGGTAGGCGTGGTCGTCGACGGAGGCGTGGATTTTATTATTAGGGGCTGTTCAGTCTCAGGATTTTCTGGAATGTGCGGAAAGATTACGACTATTACGAGGGCGATGATTATTGCGCTTTGCCATAGTGCAACACTGCACTGACACTTTTTCTCAATCATTTGGCAATAGTCCTTATTATGGCGAATGAACTGTGGATTATTATGCCATATAGAGAATGAGGACACACTTGTCATCATTGACAGTTTCGAATTGTCACTTAAAATCTCCATAGCAGCAGAATTATTACCGATGATTTTTTTGAAGGTCAAGAATGCTTTTGTTGATATCCCGAGTCGATGACGAGGCATCAACAAAAACGTGAGTGCTACCGAGAAAAAAATTATCAGAAATTAATTCTGCTGAGTGGGACATTCGGTGAGAAAATTTCATGAATAGGAGTTACTTTTATTATGTTGAGAAGATGAACCCTACGACCTATTCTGCGTAGATGTCGAATAAAATTTGACTCTTGGGTGTAACTCGTTTTTATTACTGAAATGTGAAAAACATTGAATTCAAAATTTGTTATGTGAAATCCATTGTCTTCATAGTTTTAAATGCAAATAAAACTCGAAAAAACATATTTCCGATGAGTTTAGTTGAATATGACGCACTATATTTTTACTGCAGAAGTTGATTTAACTTGTTAGTAACTAAGGTTTATCACTGAAATTTCAGGAACATTAGAAACATCTATTTATTTCCAATCATATCATCTGATTTATTCATTAATTTATTTTTATTTATTTATCAAATAGACCGCCAGACTGGTAGATAATCCAATAATGAGGCGGCATAATTACAGGTATATAACAAAAAGTAAATCAATGCATCGAGATGCATCGAGTAACACGTCGTAACTATAAATTACTAATCGTAACTAAATTAACCTAACCTAAATAAATTATACAAGAAAATGAAATATAAAATAAAAATTAGAGAAGCGTGGAAAAAATACCCTGAAAAACCTACACAGAGAAAAAGAAAATGAAAATCTCAAGTATTTATTGTGAATTTTGTCTTTATAATCTTTTGAAGTGATGAAATTTCAGATGAAAAATGTCAATTTGATTTTTCACTGTTTTCGCCAAAAACTGATTATGTGTGAGGCAGCATCGGATGAACGGAGAGTTCAATGTATAATTTGTTGAATGAGTATTTACGATGAAAGTACCTCTATTTCGCATAAAGAATAAGGTGCAGTTGAATGACATGAAATGCAAACAGTAGCTGGAATCTATCAATCCATTTATGATTTTGTTAATGAAACATAAATCGAAATAAACTCTTCTATCTTCAAGCAGTTCAATCTTATAGAATTTTAGGTTTGATTCATATTCAGAGAAGTGTTGTTGCCTACGAAATCTATAATTGAGTGAATTGATGAGTTTTTTTAACACGTTCTATTTGTGATACATATTTCTCCTAGATAGGGTTCCATACCGTTGTACAATATTCCAATATTGACCGTACGAGAGTATTAAACAACATTATGATAGAATTGACATTGTTAAATTCTCGAGAAATTCTCAGAATGAATCCGTGAGACCTCATTGCTTTTTTTAACCATACTCTCAATATGTCCCTGAAATGACAATTTACTGTCTAATAACAAACCTAAATCCTTAACAGAACCTACAAAATTGATTGGCACATCATCAATATATAGATCTCCAGTATATGGTACTAAAGCATGAGAAAATTGTGTGACATTTTTCTGGATTGACACGGAATTTGTGGCGCTTGCAATGATCAGGGAAATTATTCAAGTCAGATTGCAGTTACATATAGTTGTCAAAACCCCTGATGGATCTGATATTAAAATGTCAATACATAGTTTCAAGTGAAACTTTTAAAAAACATATTCCCGATGACGTACTATATTTTTACTACAGAAGTTGATTTTACTTTTTAGTAACTATGGTTTTTCACTAAAATTTCAGGAACATTAGAAACATCAATTCTTTTTCAACCATAACATATGATATTACAATGTCGAAATAGTTCAAATTAAACATTGGAAAAACAAATTCCCGATGAGTCTAGTTAGTTGAATATGACGCACTATATTTCTACAATAGAAGTTGATTTTACTTTCTATAGTAGCTGAGGTTTATTACTAAAATTTCAGGAACATTAAAGCATTGATTCGTTTTCAACCATAACATCTGATATTACATGTCTACAGCATAGTTTCAAATGAAACTCAAGAATACAAAACAAATGAAAAAATTGAACGTAAAAAACAACCTGTTATAACAGAGGTATGTAGAAAATTGAATTCGATATAAATCAGTATTGTCCTCTCTTGGTTCATACATATCATTAGAACATAATTATGTGTAAATTTATTACTCATTTTGTAAAATTAATTTAAACAGAGCGTGCCAAAATATCATGCAATTTATAATTGTATGTGATTAACTGAATATTAATCACAATAAAGGTAATTATAATAATAAATAGGTGTCAAAATAGTTTTCAGTAGATCATGAAATTTTTCAGTAGATCAATATGCAAATCAGGAGATCTACTAAAAATTCAGTAGAACTGGCAACCCTGCAGCGGACGAAAATTTTTCGCGGATGAAAAGTTGGTGTCAGCGGACGAAAGGTACTTGACTTTGGAAAAAGTCGGTTATTCGTTCGGAAATAAAGAACGTAAAATGTGATTTTTTGTAGCGATCTACGAAAAAAAAAATTCTGCTTTCGTTCAATGGAAAGGTACAGAAAATCATCATTGTATCTCTTTAAAGAAGAGTTCAGAGATATATTCCTATCTCATGTTTTTCGTCAACTGTTTCAAGGGTGTAATCACTCTCTGTCATAATTACATGTAATTTTATTCTCTTGATTCAAGTTTTTTCCAATGATACTAAGTATGGAAGCTTACAATGATGAAAATGAAATGAGTAAGTGAAAAACAAAAAAAATGTTTACACTTCCAAAAAAAATTGGCGGATTATATAAAGAAAATCAATCTCTCTTCATGGTTGTCTTGAAAACGGTTTGAGTAGAACCTTCATTGAGTGATACATTATCATCGAGAAAAATAGTTGAAAAAATCCCCTAAACGTTGAAGACCAATAGTTTCTGAGATACAGAGTGTCAACAATTTATGAATAATATCTAGTTTTCAGAGTTCCTAAAAAAAACATTTTGATTTACTACTACTAATTTGCGAGCTAATTTGCGATAATAAAAGACTTCTTCTGATTCACTGATTTATTTATTTACTTATTCATTCATTTCAGTAAAGTTAGGAGGCAAGGCAACTAGGTTAAATTCGATATGAAACTTTATCTCAACACTTAATAGGATATTTTATATCCACAGGGTGCATTGAAAAAGTAAATGTTTCCACTAAGGATATAATATACTCCTTATATTTGAGATTCGGGTATCTGCAGGAAAAAGTGTGGCGCTTATTTTGATTATTGCGAGAAATCTATACTCTTGAAATGTTTGCTACTTCAATGAAGCGTTTTGATTGATTGAACAGTGAGACTAACAAGCTTTTAATTTTTTTGTATTCAATATAAGTGGGTTGATGTAAAATAAAAAAAAAATATATGTTGTATAACTCACCTTCTAAATTAGATAGTTGACTATTTCCATATAATTCTAAATTTAAACTATAAAATTGTTCAGATTTTGTACAGTCCACTTCGTCTATCCTTTCACAGACTCTAGTTTCCTATAAAAATATAAAACACTTTCATTAAATTCTTATTCGATTGCATACATTCCTAACTATATTGATCTATCAAGTAGAGTGTTTCTACATACGGAAGATGTACTAATATGGAATATCTTAAATTGTTTTCAACTGATTAACGTATGTAAAAATGAGGAAACAACGGGGGATTTCAGATAATTCAATATGAATAGAAAGTAGTTTCAAATGATAGTCAAGCTGAGATCTTTTGGTTAATCAACAAAAAGTTTTCAATTTATTGACATGTGAAATGGGAATCGGACAGTTCGTCCACGGGCCTGGTACCTGTTTTAAGTACACCGATCAGTTGGACCACGACCGCTCTTCGAGCGGATTAAGGTTGTATTCTAAGAATTAAAACAATCACTATTTTCTTTATTATTGAGGTGAATTATAATAAGACAAAATTTCTACAAAATCTTTTTGTGATAAAAGGCCATTTCTATATTCTGATATCTTAGCTTTAATGAGATCATTTTTCTTTCTGTGTTGCACTTTTTAGTTTTTTGGTGATTCCAGGAAAAGTTTTGCTTCGGATCTAGGTATCAACCAACCTAGTTCGAAAGATGGGCATGTTGGATCTTCAAATTTAGTCTCATCTACTGAGTCAAAACCTAGGAGGAGAGGAAGGCCCAAAAAAAAGCCTTTTAAAGATGAAGTAGAACTCTTGGTGAATAGGCCAGCACATCATGAATCAGGCAGGCCGAAACGCATCTGTGTTGGTCAATCTACTCAGCATGAAATCGCCGGCTAGCACTCTGAAGATTCACAAGAATCGAGGTCCTATAGTTGTCGAGGCTCTTGTTAGCATGAACCTGGGGCAACTATATATTTGGAACTTCAAATTTTTCTTTCAACTTCATGATATGTACTTATATTTAGAGAAATAAATAGAATAATTTTTAGTAAGTAGGAAAAAAAAAAAAAAAAAAAAAAAAAATAAATATATGTTTCTGCTTGAAAGTTTATTAAGATATTTACAAAATTAAATAAACTTGGGTGAGAACTATGAAAATTAAAATTATAATGAGAATGAAATGATTCACACGCGTTTGTTTCCTACTTCATTAGGGTCTAAAAATGGAAGCCTGAAAAATAATTTGAGGGAATTGCTTATTTCTAAGTTTTTGTTCCGATATTCTGTGACTAAGCCCAAATTTTTAATTTCACGATACCAAGATTGGCACAAATGGAATCTACATCCTATAATTTTTATATTCGGCCACATTATTGAACTAGCGTTATGAATTGCCTGTTCAAAATCAACAATGACTGTTGAAGGTTCAAATATCAGATCCAAAGTTTTACATTTTTCATTTAACAGTTGAAATAATTTTAAATAACTTGAGCTGTTCTTGTTTGGTAACAAGCAAAATGCAAACAGGTATATAATAGCCATTTTCAAAAGCATGAACAGTGGATAATTGTAGAAGAAATTTAGTACAAAAGTGTCACATCGCAATTTGTTATCAATGCGCGAACCTTGTCATTTTTTGACGTTTGTAGAAAAATTAAATCAACTAGATACTTATGAAGAATGATGATGCTTACTAGAACGTTTGAACGTTACTGAAGGAATTCTATTAAATCGATTAGAAAATGAAATGTTAACCTGGTCGAACTGCAGGGTGGGCTTAACTCGACCATTTTCAAAAAAGGATTAATGCAGGTACTCGTGGTCCAACTAACCGGTCCCCGGTGAAATTATGTACCTGATCAAAAACTGTTCCGTTCAGGCACAAAAATCGAATGTCCATGGGTTCGTCCAATTGGCCGATGGTGCAAACGTGGAACATCTGGCAATTCGTCTCCAGGTCTGCGTAATAGCCACCTATGACTTTGCCCACGCACGTGAAATTTGTGTCTGGCAGATTGTCGAAATCCAAGAACTAAAACAAGAAACAGAGTTATTTTCATATTGTGACAAAAAATTTAAAATTAAGAAGATCATGTTTAGCAGAGTTGGAGTACTCCCTCTGATGTGAGAGGCGATTCAAATTCCTGAAAAATTCTGCCTGCATTATTTCCAGCAATTATCAATAATTAATATCGATGCAGTTCATTTAAAAATTCCGGAAGAAGGAAACATTTAGCGAAACACATGTCAAACTTCTAGTGTTAAAAAAAGAGTCATTCAGAATCATTGATAGATGATATATGAAGAAAATAATCACATACAATATTCCATTTATATCCCTTGAAGGTGTATGACTGTGCTAATTATTAATTAAGCGATAAGCAACGAGTTTCGCCATAATAAATCATTGAAATTATGAATTATATAATTAAAATCGAACAAAAGACAAAGTCAATGTTTCTGTTACTTTGACCCATTTGCTTACTCAACGGAAAATATAAACAATATCGCGGGATACGCGAAAATAATCTTCATTCTCGATACTTTTCTCCACCTCAACAGCATGCATACCGGGTGTCCCAAGTTATCCTATAGGCAATATCTCGCTTATTTGACAAGATAATCAGAAAATGAAAAACCTGCTTTGAAAGGCATCGAAGCAGATTCCTAATGACTAATAAAAAAATTGATAACATTGAACATCTCTGTGGTAACTCTTATTCACTTTTTATTTTCAAATAGCACACCCTGTATTTCATTCCATAATCGGTTAGAGATTATCATAACGAATTCAACTATACCAGGTTTGATAGGGTTATTTCAAACGATTACGGAGATATTTGCGTTCGAAGTTCCCATATGCCCAATGGGTGTGATGGTGCAATATTGGAACCATTTTCTTTGTCACACTCATTGGCATATGGAAATTTGGAACGCAAATATCTCCGTAATCGATTGAAATAACCCTATATCAGTAGTGATTCTTGGCCGGTTCTACAGCCTCTAAAGGTCATTTGAAGGGTAATTATCGCAATTACAATTCTAATTACCAGAGGCTGTAGAACCGGCCAAGGTCGAAGGTACTTGTTCAATTGAATCAATGGAATAAGTCATATGACCATGAGTGTATTATGCTGAAATTGTATGTTATTGACGAATACTCATTATCCGAACTTGAAAGATAATTATATGAATACGTGTATGCGGTGATGCAAGGTGAAATAGTGGTTGATGGTGACCTTGAGATTACTTCAGGGTATACATTACAGAGATCGAATCCAGTTGCTAGGTATCATAACTCCAGCTGTCGTGGTACCCCACTGACTAGAAAACGGTGTGTTTCATGCTAGATGGATAAGAGTGGGGGGTTGTTTCCATTTCCCATAAATCCCCTCTACCTTCAAGAGTATATAAAGGGCTAGAGCCATTCTAACTCATCATTCGATATCTTAAAATCCCTTAGAGTGGTTGTTGTGCTAGAATTGAAGTCAGCATCACCAAATCCTGTGTAATCTAAGTCGAGGTAAAATTATTTTACAATTATCGTATTATTCCAAAAATATTATCATTGAAATGTCTGTTGGAAAACTAGATCTAGAAAAAATCAATGAGATGATAAATCAAACATCACAAGAATTCCAAACTATTTCATTATCTTCATTGGCTGTGAACAAGAAATACCGCCTAGAGAAGGTCACTGTTCTATCTACGAGATATGGGCGATCTAGTTTATTGTTATTATCTGATGAGGGTAACAAATTCAAAACATGGTTACCAAAGCGAGTGACAGATCGATTGAGTGATGATATAATCAATGAACTGAACTCCCCTGATAGTCAATTCAGCTTGAAATATTTGGGAGAGAGTTTACCTAGCTTCGCAGGGTCAAAAACACGATCTCTTATTGAATTCGTCTTAGATGAATAGTTTTGTCAAAATATCATTTTATTTCATATGACCATAGTGATAATAGTTGGGAATAATATATATTATATTGTGAAATATTTTCCTCTCAGATTATATACCAATCTTTTATCATTGAAATAATCCCACTGATGTGAGTATGATAATTTCATCAGTATTATTATTATTATAACCTAAACTGTTTACGTTTTCAGTGATTTTGGTACGTTAATATGTGGATGCAATACTCTCGACAAGGATGGCCAGAAGCAACAGATATAAAATCAGCAATTGACCGACTAAGATGTGAGTTCGATGACCTTAGTTTTGATGCTCTACATTCCACCAACTATGATATGAATATTTGTTTTGATGACGATGCTATACAGAGATGTATGCGACTTCATGAAAAGTATAATGCTGGTTCCGGTATATGTAATAAATTCATATATGGAAGTATGAACTTGGTACAATTTTGTGAGCAACTTGTTGATGTTGACTTACGCGAATTCCTCTTCCAATTGGCACCACACTTACCGAAAGACATTTGTGAGGAATTCCATCTACATGAAGATAATGAAGAATGTACATAAAAGAATTGATTTATGTTATAATTATAATGAATAAAACAAATATGACTCATGAATCTGTTTTATTTCTGCAGAATATCAGGAATACATTATAATAAAAGAAGTATAAGTAAAAAAAATTATTAGACTAACTTGATACATGATTCTATCATAGTTATATATTTCAACTACCATACTTCATTTCCATCAGACAGATCCCGTTTGAACAGTGCCATCTATGGCGCTGTATGTCATACATGCGTCATGTATGATTAATGCATATACTCTCGTATTTTCTGGAAACTTGGTTTTGCGAGTCTCGAATTCTAATTTTATGTCCACTGTAGAAGTCTTCATAGCATCCGGTTGATGACAGCAGTCAATGATGAATAGGGGGCTGTCACGAAACTCTCCGATGGTCATCATGGGCTCACTCATATCTTTATCATAATAGTTTCGCTGGAATTGTTCGTACGCATAGTAAGCTGGTGAGTAAAGCTTTTTACCAAAATCAAGATTCCACCTCTCATATGGATATACTTCTGAGTTGAGATATAGACGAATATTGTTAACATCAGCATGTTTGAATTTTGTTGCATCTTTTGATCTATCATTGAGATCGTTAGTGTGTTGAAATCCAATAATTATATATCGAGGGCGTTCGAGACTATTCGTTGTTTTTATTGCCCAAATATCTGAGGCAGTGTCTCGAAGTGATGGTAATTCATACAGATCCCACATTCGGTATGCTAACTTGACCTTAGCTGTGTTAGTTTTATTTATTCGATTGAGCAATTTGAGCTTCTGTCGATCTTCTGGCATGATGTGTTTGATTTTCCATTCTATCTTACTAATCTCCAAATCAGCATCAACCTCTCCAATATATGAGTTTTTGAATGTGCGAGCAATTATAAGTATGAGCTCTTGTTTTACATTCAGAATTCCTTTGGTGTAATCTTCAGCAAAGCCCATCAGGTACTTCAAAGGTAATTTTCCACTAAAGATGTGACTTTGGGAGTCCAAAATATCTTGTGATTCTTGTTTGAGACCCCATCCAGTAGTTTGAAGCGATGTCATATGCGTTTGTCCATATGAAATCATAGTTTTCATTGTAGTAGTTATACCAGGCTTTCGAATTACAGCTACTTGTTCACCTCCCATTTCATAACGAATCTCATCAAAGAGGAATGCCAGTGCATTATTAGATAAATAACAAACTTTGGTAGAATCAGTAGGAGTGAATTTACCTTCGATATATATGAAACTTTCTGCGATGTCCAGTATCAAATCTTGGAAGTTGATAGGAATTCGAATTTCGTCTGAATTTTTATAATATGGTGAACCATATGGCTTGTATGTGTGTTCATGGAGACTAATTAATGAGTGATCCAGAATTGGCTCATCAAAAACATTCAATTTTTCACTAGTAGTATGGGCCACCATGTTGTTAGTATTATTTTCGTAATTTCAGTCCAACAATATTCTTGAGAAAATTTCGATCGTCCGCTGATAGCTTATATCTTGACTGCTCGGGATGACGACGTGAAATGAACTTGGAATTGCTCTTGCTCTTCCTTATATGTGTTTGGAAATCTGATGATGATGATGATATCCTATCAGAACGTCTGAATGAAAATCCCATCGTTGATAACTCACGATAATTTCCTTAGTTCCAATTTCAATATTATTTTCTCTCCTCGGAAATCTATTAAGGCACCGTTATCATCCAAGATACTCAGAGTGATGTTGTCAATGAACTGACATCCTTCAGGTCTCACCGGCATATAAATGATATTCTGCGGCTCCTTAGATAATTTGTACCCTGGTTCTACATCTATGTCGAATTCGAATAAAGTATGTGCTTCTTCACCATTGAAATATGCTCCAGACGTAATATTGCAATCGACTCGAATAATTCTTACTCGCATGATGTTCACGGGTAATGTCGATTCATGTCGTTTATTTGCTTCCAAGCACAGAGCTTCGAATCCTATAAGAGATGCCATGGAATTCTCATGTGTTAAATCAATCTCAAATTCAGACTGAATTTCGCATTTCGAAGTATTATTGTTAGCATGCAATGAAAATATCGAATGTATATCATTAATCGATGTATTCATTTTGATTTTCATTATATTTTTAATAGCTCTATTGATTTCATCGATCTCGTAGACTCCTGGAGGGATTGATATAGTAACAGGTGGATCATCTGCCTTTATTCTGTAACTGATTATATTATTTTTCTCGTCTACATTGAAAATGGAATTGTATGAGTAAAATCCATGCAATCCCAATCCATAACGACTGTTCACATCTAATTCGATTGGTGGGAAGAAGTTTGCACTCAATACACTCGTTTCTCCACTTAATGTGAATGTTCTCGACATGACTGATGACATTGAACTGATGAGCAAATTCTTCATCATCTCATTTCATTGACCACATATTATGACGTCAATCATCATACATGAATCAAGACACTTCTTCAATTCCTGAAAATATATCAGAATAAATTATCAAGTGATGAAGTTAATATATGAGGAAAATTGGAAGTTTAATA